CTCTCATCTTTGTCTGCACCCACCTCCGAAAATCCCTCCCTCTTACACCTTTTCACCTCCCCCTGCTAGCTCCACTACCACCACTTCCATTCCCCCTCCTCTTTCTCTTCTATTCCTACACCTACTTTCCCCGGCAAAGAATACTTGTTTGCCCTCAATGGAAGACTTTCCTTCTCCGCTAACAACGGCGTTACGCTGCAAAAACAAAATCAAAATAAAACACAAAATTCGAATTATAACAACCACCATTATTATTTCCCTCCCCCCCCCCGCCTCCTGTCAATCCTTCTTCCCAATATCCGTCTCCTGCCTGTTCCTATCATCCTCCCCCTCCCCGCCTTTCATTCACCTCCCCTTCTATCTCTCCCTCTCCTCCTTCACTCTTCTGAAATGGAAGCTTTTTTCGCCTGTTTGCAGGATATCTTCATTGCAGTGCATTCTCCAGAGGAGATTTCCTTTCCCTCTTTAATTCTTGCATTAATATCTTCAATCGATTTGGCCCATTATTAAAAAATCTTATTAAATGTTTTATAATTTATTGACTCTTATATCGCCGTTTACTTTGTTTATTAAAAAATCTCTTTCAAATTGATACTTCTAGTCCAGAGCATCCTTTTACTTCTCCCAACGCCTCCCAAACTTATTCAAACTTTCATACATTTCGTAACTAATCACAAACACTGTACAAACAAATTTAAAAAGACTCACGATCTCTTCTCTATTATGTCATGGAATTGCCGAGGCATGCGGGATAAATCTCCGCAAATACAAATGGCTTACTCAGATTTTGAAATTTTGTGTTTACAGGAAACTCTGCTCACAGAGGATAAACCATTTTAAAGCGCAACCACATTATCAGAAAAGATATTTTAAATCCTGACGATAGAGGTGTTTGTATAAATGTTAAAGATCATATCCGATTCACGACTCTTGATTTGCAGAACTACCAACACAAATCCATGGAACTAATAGGCATCGTTACAGAAATTGATAAAAAGCCTTACGCTATTATCAACGTATAGACATTCTAGTCTCTCCACATTGATTATATAGTAGCTTTAGTAGCAGGCCCCCTGTTTGATGCTTTTCCATACGTCATTCTTTTGGGCGATTTCAACGCCCAATATACTTTTTGAGGATGCAGCAATACAGATTCTACCGGCAACGCACTCTTGAAAGCTATGGAGCACCATAACCTAGTTTATGTCGGCGATCGCCAGCCCACATTGTTCGGTCCCCCCTGATTCTACGCCATAGGTCATCGATCTCGTCTTGATGTCATCATCTTATTCTTTCCTGCAGCGGACTCAAACAGATCCTGGGGCAATGATCATTTTCCTTTAATGATACGAGTTGGCCGTGCCTTAGTTTCGGAAAGTCGATTCCTCTATAAAATAAGCCTCAATAAAGCGCAAGAAGCTGCATTCATGATTCAACTTCAATCCGTAGATTTGGAAACAGGACCAACATTTAGCTCGAAAGTCGCCCTTTATGACCACTAGTTTGAAAATGTTAAAGTATATATTTATAAATTCCTCCCTCCAAGGCATGCCTTCCTAGATCTACCCTGGCTAAAGCATGGAGACCTCCTTGATGGAACGAGGAAGCTAACTCAACAATTGAACAAAGACGGAAAGCAATGGCCACTTTCAACAATGCCCTCAACTTGTGTTCCTAAACTAACTACAAGAAAATTGCAGCCCCAAAACCCTAAAAAAAAGTTGCAACGTACCAAAACCCTAAAACTCATAAAAAGAAACAGTTGGAAGAAATTCTGCTCCAGCCTTGACAGAAATTTTCCTATCTCTCAAACTTGGGGACTCGTCAAGTCTTTTAAGTCACAGCCACGTTGGCGCGAATCTATTCAAGCATCTACTCTAGGAAAATTGGGCCCATCTTATTGCAATGATGGTAACCTGAAAGCGCTGGAAGTTTTGATAGAGGAAGATCAGGAATCCAACACTTACGCGGCTCTTAACGCGCCCATCACTCACGAAGAAATCGAGCTTAAAAAATACGCGAGCTTAAAAAGAGGCTCAGCATCGAAATTTGACTAATTAGACTATCAGACTATCAAGGATCTATCGTCCAATCACCAGGCCCATTTATTGAAAATCTACAATCAAATCCTTGAGGATGGGATCTTCCCGGTTTATTGGCTAATTTCATTGATTATTTTTATTCTTAAACCTGGGGGAAGGGGACTTTGTCCCATCTCACTTATATCATGTTTTTTGAAAACTATGGAGAAGATAATATATTTTCGAATCCGATAGTTCGTAGAAAGAAATAATCTCCTGTCCTAATCTAAATTGTAAATGGGGTTTAGAACAAATATATCCTGCACTGATAATTTAATCACCCTCATGAACCAAATACACAACGGCTTCTTAGCCAAAGAATTCACAGTATGTGCCTTTCTCGATATATCGGATGGGTTCCACAACGTCATCCCGTCTATTTTAATAGAGGAATTAAAAAATATAAGAATCCCAGAAGATTCATATAAGAAGGTTCATCGGCAATCTGATTCACAAAAGACATGTTTTTACAAGGACAACTGAAAGACTCTTTTTGGTCACCCCTCTTTCAAGGGCACCTCTCACGGGTCTACCCTAAACCCACTTTTGTTTAGCATTTATACTCGCAACATTGGAGAATGCAGTCAATATGGCGTACACATTTTACAATATGCTAACGATATCGTCGCCTTTGCTACAAATAGAGAATGGGAGATGGGAATAAAGCTCGACTCGCCGTCTAAGCTGCTTTGAACAAAATGTTTCCCTTTTTGCGATATCGGGTTGAAACTGTCTTCAGATAAGTCCAAATTTATAATATTTAATAGAGGTGGAACAATAAGTCTCCTTAGATCGCTCCATATTAACCGTCAAGAATTACAACAGGTAGATTCAATTAGATTTTTGAGTATTATTCTCGACAGTAAGCTGAAAAGCAAAGAACATACTTGGTGCAGAAAGAGGCTAAGATCATAAACATCTTTGCATCCCTAGCTGGAATTTGATGGGGTTCGCATCCGCATCAACTTCTACTATATCACTTTTCACTATATCGCTCAATCCTTTGGAGCTCTATCGAATACGGATGTCAAGTTCTGCAACTTACAAATAATCAGGGAATATTTTTAAAACTCCAAAGACTACAATTTAAGGTTATCCGCATAGTTGGAGGCTACAGAACCTGCATGCCTATCAATATGATGCTGACTGAGACTAAGGAAACTCTCTTGAACAAACGATTCCAATACCTTACATCCAAATATCTCTTTACAAAAACTTTGCCATCGCGGATATTCCAACACGAAATAGTTTTAACCTTGTGGAGAACACTGCTTGGAATTGTCTTCTGAGAAGGCACTGACGAACGTTCCATGCCTGAAAGAGTTTACCCACAAACATACTCTTCGCTCTGTCCACCATTCAATGATCCCTCCCTTCTTTTTGTTCGACTATAATCCATCTTCTCTCAATTCTTTATTGATGATATGTCCCTCTTAGACAAATTTAATTCCCCAACGATCATCCAATTTGAATTCCTTCTCAAGGCTTCTGAGTTCCTCACTACCCACTCTATCTTCTATACAGATGATTCTAAGTTGGATGAATCATCTGCTGGCGTGGACATTTATTCCCCGGATTTAGAGATTAATTTAAATTTCAGACTGCCACCGAAAACCTCCGTCTTCTTGGCGGCGGCCTGGGCCATACTACAAGCTTTACTTATTGCTCAAAAAAATGGATATCGAAATGTCATCATATTTATCGATTCGAGAAGTATTCTGAAGACTATTAAACGCCTTAAACTCAACCGAGGTAATTACCTGATCAACTTAATTAAGAACGAACTCTGACAAGCTAAACAAACAGGTATTGTTATAGTTTTCTTCTGGGTGCCCGCTCATAAGGATATCACTGGCAATGAGATAGCCAATCAGCTGGGTAAAGAAGAATGCTCTTCCAATAATCGCCCTGATTACTAAATACCGTATTCAGATCTCCAGATTGAATCCAAAGCCGATAGTCAACGGCACTTCCAAACTTACCTAGCGGAACAAGCGTTAATCAAGGAAACATATTATACTGAGCTTTATTCAAACTTAAAGGCTAAACCGTGATATCAAAGTAAATCCTTGAACAGAGAGACAATTGTCACAATGTACCGATTGAGGGCAAACCATTACAATCTCAATTCTAGTTTACACAGAAAAAATTTGGTTGACTCCCCAGCCTATGTTTGTGGAGACCCTCGATAGGACATAAATCATATTATTTTTCTGTAAACTCGTAAGTTCTAAAGCTTCTAATCTTATTAATTACCTTCAAATTAAATTTCTTAATTCCCACAACAACCTTTTCCCATGCCTTTTAAACCCTCAAAGCTATGTCGTCTCTTGATAGCATTTCTCCGCTCCATAAATACTCCGATATGATTCGTCCCTTCTTCTTTGGCGCCCTTCCATGTGAAGGAATGCGCGGATCGTTCATTTCATGGGGGGAAGGCCTTCCCCGCCTTTCATCTCATTGCCACATTAGATGCTGGCCGTATCGTAGGCGATAGACCTGCGGTGCCACACAAAGAAGAAGAAAAAGCGGTACGATATTGCCATTGTCAGCACCAGGCTATAACAGATTTCCTAACCTGAATAGTCGTAAGATTAATATCTCAGGCTCGCAGGGCAGATTGATGCTTTTCTCTGCCAGATTCCTTTGTTTTATGAAAAAAATACGTCGAGTAAGTCTAGTTTTATTGATTTTTCACATAAAAATAAAGGCTTGACAAGAAAAAATAATTTAATTTAGTCCCCTGTCACTTCAAAAATCCATAAAATTACATTGATTTGCATAAAACGAAGAAATCTTTCAGAAGTCATTCTGCTCCGCAAGCCTGAGATTTTAAAGTTTACGACTATTCAGGTTAAAAAATCTATTATAGCCACGAAATACTGCGATACGAACAAGCACTAGCTGCGGTCATATTTTCATGTGAAGCGCGAGCCTCAGTCTGCCGTGGGCCACGTTAGACTATTTAATAAATTTTACTGCGAATACTAAGCCTTTCTATACCAGGTCCATATCAGGCAAGACTAGACCTCTTATAGATTATGTCAGATTTTTTTCAAGTGGTTATGACGTGGCAAAGCAGTGACAAAATATCATGACACTGGCCAGTATTATGATATTAACGAGGAAAGTTCTATCAGGGTTTAGAAGAAGCAATAAATTCTTTATTCAAAATAATTAAGATAAATATTGGACGAAAAATCATTTTGGAACAATATAAGTCACGTTTATAATTTGATCCCAAAATAAATATTTATTTGAATTAAATATATGAATTTACTTTATAAACAAGAAAAAATTTTTTTATTTTTAAACTATATATTATATATTTCGCTTTTCCTAAATCTATTGTATGAAATTGAAAGAAATATACCAATATTTTCTGGCCTAATAAATTTTTTTACATCAATATATATATTATTAAATATTAAAATTAATCAAATCCGATTCTTCTTCGAAAAAATTTTCTACTATACTTCAAAAGAAAATTAATTCTTCTTTTGATAATGAGTATTTTTAAAATTTGTGCTGAGTACATTTTAAGACTACTAGCGAAAAAATATTCTTTATTAAGAGTAACCATTATTTAAAAGAAAAAAAATGTATAATTACTTTTCTTAGCAACAGAATGATATTTTTCTGTTCGTGGATTAATTGTAGATGTTTTATAAAGCTCCATTAAATGTTTAAAAAACGTTATACGGTTCAAAAGTAGATGTTTTAGAGAGCTTCATTAAATGTTTAAAAGATTTAATAAAATTTAGTATAAGGGCTAAGGCCCAGTTGCACCAACGTCACTTTGATTTTAAGTGAGACTTAAAACTCTGCCTATCTCGATTTAAAGCAAAAAAAAAGTAGAGAGAGAAAGAGTTTTAAGTCTTGCTTAAAATCAAAGTAACGTTGATGCAATCGGGCCTGAATGAGCCAAGCACGTTATACAATGCAAGAGAATATATTTTTACAATTAAAAATTCTTCCAATATCAGTTTACAACGGACTCATCTTCAATGGAACTTATCATAACTTACATTAAATCTATTCTTATCTTCTTTCGTATATTACATGACGTTATATATATAAAAACCTGTCTCTCAAACAATTAATCTCAGTCA